ATATATAAATATTTATATATTTATTATTATATTTTTTATATTTTATATATATCAAAATATTATTTTTATATAATTTTTATTTATATTGTTTAATATGTATTATTATATATATCTATCATTAATATATATTTTTTTTTTAAACTATTATTTATTTTATTTTGTATTTTTTATACATATTAATATATAAGTTTATTTTTATATTAATAATTTTTATTTATTTATTTAAATTTTTTTTATCTCAATTTAATTTATAAAATAAAACAAATTATAATTAATACGAACTAATTTTTTTTTAAATAATATATACTAAAAAGTTTATAAACAATAGTTTAACATTTTTTTTATTGTATATAATTTTTTATATCAATATAATATTTTAATAAAATAAATTAATATTATAAAAATAATTATTTATCTTTATATAAATAAAATTATCGATATAAAAAACATGCAATAAAAGCCTTTATAAAAAAAAATATCTAATAAAATCCTTAAAACGAAATAAGTTTATCTTAAGAAGTAAAAAATTATATAAAAACACATAAAATATATTAAAATAGTAAATAATATTATATTTAATTTACTAAAATGATATTGAATCATTAAAATAAATTGGGATAAAGCATTTTAACATAAATTTTTTAGAAAAATTTTATGAAGCAGATATAGACTCTAAAATATCTCCATTAATATGTGCTTGCTATTTTAGCCGAAATGAAATCGTAAAATTACTTCTAGAAAATGATACTGTAGATATTGATATGAGTAGTGAAGATGTAGGACATACTCCTTTAACAATATCTTGTATGAGTGGAAATTTCGAAATAGTGAGAATTTTATTAACTGCAGGAGCAGAAGTGAATAAACCAACATTTTTTAACCATACTCCTTTTGTGTGTTGTTTTTAAAGACTTGAAGAAGAATAAAATATATTTGAAAATAGAAAAATATGTCTTAAAATGGCTGAATTATTACTTTAATATGGGGCTGATATTAATTGGATTATAAATAAAGTAAAAGGATATACTTTTTTAATGTAGTTATGTGCAGTTAAAATGTAATTAAGTGAAAAAGAAAAAGAAATTAGTTATGAAATTATAAAGTTTTTAATAGAAAATGGAGCATACAAAAATATTAATACAAATAATAAAAAAACAGTAATAGATTTAGCATAAAAACACT